GAGGAACAATTGTTGGGTCTCTTTTCTGTGCTATTCTTTTGCTCAGTGGGAACAAAGTGGCCTCTGCACTTCTCAGCCTAGCCTGCCCCATGTTAGCCCTCCCTGTCTAGTGTGAGAGAACAAAGAGGGATGATGAGCCTGGGTACACCTTCTTCCACTCAGATGTGCACAGCTGGGAAGGCAGGCAGGGAAGTTCTGCTCACAGACCACACAAAGTACTCCCCAGCAGGCTGCAGCTGTGACAAGCCAGCAATTCCTCCCTCGACACCCAAGGCACATATTTCATAGTCTAAGAATAGATGTGCTTACACTGATCAAGAGTAGGGGGAGCTGACAGTTACCCTCATATGGCTGGGGCTCAGATGCGTAAAGATGTCAAGAGATCTGGTTTTAATTGAAATGCAAGCATTTGCCATGTGGGATTCTACACACAGGGCCATCTTGCTTTATATGGTCAACAGCATATGTTTTGGCAAATTAAAATAAAGCAAAACAAAAACAGTGAATATGGGCTGCAACAAGAACTTATCAGGAACTCTAGAGAAAAATTATATCTACTGAATGCTATGCATAAACATGATATTTATATGTTTGATTGCTACATAGATTGAACATGACTTTTGAAAAATATTCCACAATTCACTTTTGTTTTATTCCCTTGTAGAGGGGTAATTCTCTCAGAGATAGGTTTTTCTTACGATTGAAATGTTAACGACTGGTAAAACACTTTGGTTGTTTCTGATTACTCATTTGGCATTAGGATTACTTCTTTGAGAAAGTCTGAACAGTAAAACAAAACTGCTACAATATTTTTATTATCACAATACCGCAAAGTAAACACTGAGAACTGACTCACCATCCAAGTGATGTAGAAAGATCAAAGAAGCCCCGTATCATAATTTAACCTTAAGTGAAGGTTTGTGTGGAGATAATAATTAGGATCCCAGGTCAATCTTAAGATACATCTTACTTAGTCTGTTTCTCCCTTTCAAGTTTTAAAATATAAAGCCTTCTTTGGTAAATTAGTCCAGATGTGGGCTTAGAATAAAAGCCAAGTTTCATTAGGAAATGGTACTTGTTTTTAATTTCTAAGTGGTCTGTATTTTCTCTTGACAAACCCGAGACCTCTGCGTTTGCAGGCTCACTGCTGGCATGTGGACTGGCCTGAAATCTAGCAGTTCTGTTCTTGTCTTTTTGCAGTCTCTTAGTAAAAATGTTTTTAGGAAAGTATATTGCAAGATAAAAGGTAAATACATTTTGGGTAGGGTGAAAAACTTCTGGCTTTATTATTGGTAAAGGAATTGCTGCACCCTTGGATATAATAGGTTATGTCTGTGCCCTGGCAGAAGGTGGAGTTTATAGTTGAAGTAGTGTCCTTCCTTGCCCTGTACTGCTGAAATCTCACCTGGCCACCCACTTTGCCTAGACATAAAGCAGACTACATAAACAGAGAAGGTGATAGACATGCCAAATAATTATCTTACCTATCTGCACATTGTTGACTAATTTGGTGATTAATTAAAAGCTCTGTATAGGGATCATCATGATCCAAGTCTGGATAAACTTGATATTCAGCTTCTGGGAGGTTGTGAGAACGTGTTCTAGATTGTTCTCACACCAAAGGTTGGGTGCTTTCCTGAGAGGCTTCCTTGTTTGCCCAGAAGAATTGAGGGCACCTTCAGGAAACCTCATCTTACCTGTGCAACCCTTGTCAGACTGCCAACTGGGGGAGACAGGGATAGATCTATAGTTACTGCTGCAAAGGAATTTTAATTATAAATCTAAGTGTTCCTTAAATTTTGCCACTGGTGACTCAGGCATACCCACACTTGCTTCCTTTGTCCAAAGAAGAGGCAAAGTCCCTAAATATCACAAGCTGCCACAGAAGAGAGCAAAGAGGGTCACCTGGTCAAAAGGCCAGTAAAACCTAGCTACAACCAAACCGTCTTCCCTCATGGTTAGTGTGGAGCTCTGGGACAGCACCCTCACCCTCGCCATCCATTGATACCAGAGAAGCCTCAATACCCTCCCTTTCCTTTTGCTCACCTCACAATTAGGACCTGGATTTGACTTCTGGAGTCTGGTACTGTTCAATTACTGGATTCTTGTCTTTAAAACTCACTCTTGTCATCATTGGTTCCCTGGCATCAACTCCCTTCTGACCACTTTATCTTAGACCTCTGCCATCGAATCCTTTCCTGACCACTTTCTCCTGAAAGCTTTGTTTCTCACTGTTGGTCACCTAATCTAGCACTAGAAAAACTGGAGTCAGAGCCTCCCCAGGGAACTACCATGCAGGACACATCCTGGTCAGAATCTCTGGCTGGGGATTAGCAAGATCTCAAATCTTGTAAAAGGAATCTGAGTAGACGAGTCAGGCCTTCAGCAGGAGGGCACGTTGGGAAGCAGATGTCTTGGTGTTCCTGAAATTATATGAGTGTGAGAGTGTGCGAGTGATGACTATGAGTATGTAAAGGTGTGTAAGTGCATATATGTGTGTGTGTGTGTGTGTGTGTGCAAGTGGGAACTAAGTATGACAGGAAAACCTTTGCTGAGCAAAGTCTGAGAGAAGTGGTCCACCCGAGGATCTCTTGGCTGAAAGACAAGTGACTCAGCTTCCAATTCTGCTGCTCCTGCCACCTCTCTGGACAACCCAGAGCGAGCCACCATGTCTTCTGGACCAGAGCTTTTATAGCCAAAAAAAGAAAAGTGCTATATGAAGAGTACGACAAATGCCTTATACTGCAAAAAGTATGTACTGTAGAATCACCACTGTGATTATCTTCAGACTAGCAGTGTATTAGAAGTCGCACCTAGAGCTGGAAACAGGAGGTTCTGGCTTAGAAACTCAGAGGCAGGCTCAAGCCCCCCTGTCATACACTTTTTGGGTTTTGGTAAAAACACAATAGGAATGGAGACTGAAAGATCACCAGCTTCGCCCTGGCTGAGAAGAGGACAGCTACAAGAGTGATGTCCAGAGCAATGTGAGCACCCGACGTCCCTCTGCTGGTCCCTTGGCTGAAACATCCCCCTCTTAAATTCTCCTGAGACCAAGACATGGAAATAAACTCAGCTCCCTCTCCTACTGATTTAAAAAAGTGCCTCGACTCTTTAATACAGAGAATTGGGTGAACAGGAGACGTGGTGTGCCATTTTAGTTTGAGAGTAAATGTAACAGGCCCCCGAGTAGCCTCCATCAATTCTAAACAAGAGAACAAGCTTGGTGCACCTCGCTTCTCCCGCTGACCATACTGATGGCTTTCCTAGGTTTCTACATAGAAGGCAGGCCCCAGAAACGACAAACATTAGGTAATTCTCTCTTTTCTGGGTGCTAAAAATAAATCACAATTTAACAGCAGTGCTACCTAAAGACTTGAACCAAAACCAGAAACAAACATAAAACATAACCTCTTTGCAAAAGGAATCATTAATAAGTTCATAGCTGTCCATTCTAACTCAGACTGGGCAATGGGATGATTGATTTATAACTAACACAGATGAAAGAGAAGCAAATCTTTAAAGGAAATATACTGGAAAGTCATAACCTGCTATCCCCATCAATGGAAACTCAGAGCATTAGAACAAGAAAGGGGTTTAGAGATGAACCAGAACAAGTAAGATGAAGACTGAGGAGACAGAGACTCAGAGAGGGAAACTGGCTCCCACAGGATCCAGCAGCTTAGGGCTGAGTTTCATCGCCTGTCTCCCAGACTGGTGCCTCTGCCACTACTGTATGCCACTCTGCTGTTTGCTGTATTATTTTCTTTAGGAAAGTCAAATATTTTCTCAGCATTGATTTTTAAACAGAAATTACTGTAGCTCTTTCAATATCCTTTTTAAAGTTCCCTCCTTGGGTCTGACACCTGTTTCCAAGCAGGATTTCCCACCTGCCCTCTCCCCTTGACCGCAGACTTCCATGTGGGTACAGGCCCCCAGCCCTGCCTCTTGTCTTACCTAGACTCCCTCGGCCGAACCAGCAGCTTGTTTTGCTCTCCTAGTGTCCCAACGCCCTCTTTTCTTTCTGCAGTCATATGGTAGCATTTCTAGGTCCTGAAATCTCCACTGCACATACCTCAATTTTCCTGACTTCCAGAGTCATCTATATCCATGGCTCTCGAAGTGTGGTCCACTGGCTAGCAGCATCACATTACCTGGGAACTCATTAGAAATGCAAATGCTCAGGTCTCAGACCACATCTACTGTCTCAGAAACTCTGGTGGTGAGGCCCAGCAATGTGTTTTAATGAGCCCTCCAGTTGGTGCTGACCCTTGCCCAAGTCTGAGAACCACTAATTTACTAACCTACCTTGTCTTCTGGTAAATGAGCTCAAGGGGAGAGCTCTGCAGAGGACTACTTGTGTTCAGTTCCTGCTTTCTGGCTGTGTACTTTGGATAAATAACTTAACCTCTCTGTGTCTCATAGTCCTCATCTGTGAAATGGGGCTAATAATAGACTTTGCCTCAGAGATTTGTTGTGGGGATGAAATGATACAAGGTAAGTATGTAATATACTTAGCACAGAGCAAAACCTAGAAAATGCTCAAAAATATTAGCACTTACTCTTTCATAAGATAGTTCTACTCACAACCCCACACGATACATGAGTCACTTTCCACATCATACTCTTATGCAACTTCTAAGCAAATATTAATCATAGTGAAATCACATTACTCAAGAATATAAATTACATCTAAATCAGGTTTTGATATTATCAATATCTATGAAGTTACTTTTATGTTGGCATTTAAAATAGTTACATGAATTCTTAATTTGTATATTTCAACAGTCAATAAAAACGATGACATAGTACCAACTCATAAGAATCAGTTTAGAGAAAGCTTTTTATTGCCACATAGGAGTAAACCCAGAAAATGGTTTGCAAGTTTGTTCTTGTAGCAGCTGATACCCTTAAAGGAACACACACACATTTGTTACTAATAATAAAGCACCCTGGTCTTTTTCAGTCTAGGACAACTGTAAACTTGCCTGTGCAGAATGTCTTTGAGGCATAAAAGAAAACTCAACAGATGGAACAGGACCCCACAAGCAACTCTTCAAACCTGAATCATGCATTTTTCTTGCATGTAAATATCATTTCATGTTAATTGATACTACTAAGCATGCACTCATGATTGCTGCTATGCTAGCAATTATCATAAAGAGATGAGTTCATGGTATTTCACATGTAAAATGATCCCTATGTATATATTTTAAAAAAATATAAAGTTGTGGAATCCCTTTATGGATAAGGTTTCCTCACCCAGTGCTAAAGTGTAATTTATTTCCCTCCCAAACAGATTTCAAATCCTTTTAAATATCATATGCTATACTTTAAATTAAAAAATCAAAATACTAGATACATCATTGCTCTCAACTGAATGAAGAGTGCCATTAATTAGCAGAGAGCTTTATATGTGATATCCACATTTAAATGAGCTATTATTTTCTGGGATGACCATTTAGTTGGTGGCTATTGCAATTTTAAAGCTCATGTTACTTGGAATGTACGTACAGTGCATAGTCCTGGTGAAATGTTTCAGGCCAATAGTGAAAAAAAAAGTCCGCCCAGAAGGGACCATTTTTAAAATAGGTCAAAAACTGTATGTGCGTAGCATTTTTTGGCAAGTCGGTGGTAAGGTCCTCAGCTGTGAATATCCTGGACATAAGGTTATGCAATTGTGGTTAAAGAAATACAGTGGTTTATAATTTAATTCCTAGCTGACCCAATTTCCATTCATATAAAATATGCTTTGGGGCAGTCGTCAGGAGACCACTTTGACTTTGGTTTAAATGGAATTTCCTTGCCTTTTATGACATTTCAAATTTTCACTAAAAGATAGAAGAATTCCACAAAACAAATAGCTTAAACAGGTAGAAAAATGTGCAGGTAAAGTTTTACAGTGTATCATCAAAGTTTCGTATGCAGTAGTTAAGTACAAGGTATTATAGAACAAGAAAATAAACATAATGAAGTAGAAACTACAGAAAAACAAGTCTAAAAGTCAGACGTGAATGAGAGTGGCTCCATTTGGAGGACACAGTTATAAGCACAGTTGTATGAACTCTTTCTCAGTCACTGTAATTTTGGCCCCAAAATCACCCTGTTTAGTGCTAAAGAGCAGATCTGGAAATGAGAAATTCTCATTCTGGTCCTGTGACACTTGCTAAGATGCCCACAATTCTCTTTGGCCCACTGTTCTTTTATAGGGTTAATTATTGTTAATTTTATTAATAGTCATCTTGTAATAAGGAATCTGTACTCAGATTCCCACTGTGAAATCAATCCTTTTAAAAAATAACAGAACCACTGTTAAGATTAAAACACTGAGAGGATAATGGAATCAAAAGAGCTAAAACAGCTCTGCTATTAAAGAACAGATTTATAAAAACAAATAGTGCCAGACAGTCTTGATAGCATTTTCAATAGAATTAAAAACTTAGTGAACACAATGAATGTACCTTAACACACATATATTTATATTTTTGTAATGCATTTGATACAGTATCTCAATAAATCTTATTTGCCAACCTAATTAGCATTGGCTTTGCTATGTGCTCTGTCACATGGACTGAGAACTGGCTGGAGGACAAACCCTAATGACTTAGGGCAATGTGTTGACTATAGGGTCAGTGAGAGGTCTGGTTTTGCTTAATGTCTTTATTAATGATCTGGAAGAAAGAGTAAATAATTCTTGAATGAAATAATAATTTAATGACAGGCACATGGGCTAACTAGATAACATAAGAAGTAAGCACCAGCTGCAGGCTTGCTACTGATTTGAAGGAGGCCAGTCACTTGATCTTTCTGAGTCTGTTTCACCATGTGGAAAATGGAGATAATGGCTTGTGAGAAAGCAAAGATAAGATTACATGATTTCAAATACAAAGTATGATAATACTCCCTCTGATAGTATTTGGTGCTTATCTACTGCTTATAACACTTGGTAGGAGTCACCTGAATATGGCAGAACATGGGGTAGGGCCAGTATCAGAGAGGAAGAGAACAACTCTGTCAAGGGACAACATGTTTGGAGGACAAATGGCTAAAATGCCCTAAAAAGGGCTTTGTAAATGGGTGGAGGAAACTCAGGGAGAATAGGAAGCTGAAGAAGCAACACAACCCTTTGTGGGGAAACAGGAAGACCCGCCCCGTGCTGCCCACTTTTTATTCTTCTGGTTGTGCACACGGTACTTTCTGGTACAGTGTGCAAAGAGGATGTGTTTACCCTTAAGTACTCCTTAATTCCTGTTCAGTTTGTATATAAAATATGTGAGATATTTAAATGCAACGTAGAAGTCAGTAAACTGTTTCAGGTAAAACCTCACCAGTGATTATCTTGGTAGAGTTGCTTCTAGTCTGATGTAGTGTTAGGAACAGTTTTCTTGGTTTATACAAGGCAGTTCGCTAGAGGGAGGTAGCCTGGGGGTGGTGGCAGTGCTCATTTACATAAATGATGAAGCTAAAAAGATTTTTTTCTCCACTGAAATATGATTATCAAACAGACCAGAATTCTTGTGACAGCTGAAGAGTATTGTTTTTTTTTTTTTTATAGCAAAGAATCTCAGGAACCAAATTAACATTAGATCACTAGTTCTCTCACTAGTAAAGCAGGTTTGCCCAAACTAGCCTGATCCTAAGTATTTTCCAGGGGGGCTTCTTAAAAACCTAGATCTCTGTATCTCACTCCAGACTCACCAAAGCAGAATCCCCAAAGTAGCCAGAGTAACTGTTATAATTATACAAGTGTGAGAAACCTCAAGGTTGGGTAAAGGGAACTGGATTGTTCCAAACAGTTGTCTAATCAATCTGTGATATGCTGATGAAATGCTATCTACTGAAGTATGGTCCTTCCAAGCTGACCCAATATTTATATTGACTTATTAGGGCTTTTTTTTTTTCCCTGCATAGAACCAAAGATTGCATAGAAAATAGAATAGTTTATTGTTTGTTCAGTTTTCCATCACAATTAGCAAAACCTAAGTTACTACTTGAGAATCTCCTTTTATAATTTTTTCTAAGTGTAGTTTATTTTTCATGAGTTACTTATTTTTTAATTCATTTACAATTTATATCCTGCCTGTTTCCAAAAAAAAGTTTGAGGACTATATCTCAAACTGTGTTTTCAACAGAGGTTGAGGAAAAAAACTTTGGAGTCCTTGATGTGACTGGGGCGGGGGTCTCATCAGCAACATTCTTAGGGCACTGAGACTGAAATTCATGCCTCCCTCCCTTAAAACAGCATTCTTTATGCTAAGCCACAGATTTTAATTTACTTGGGAGACAAAGCAATACAAAACAAGGCAAAAATACAATGAAACATTAGCTGTGTGCTCTGGTAGAACTGTAAAAATGGCAAAAAGTTAGAGGGAGACTAAGCAGGCACTCCCAAACAGCACATTAGGGTCCTCTTTACATAAGAATCCTTTTCTGGTGCTATCTGGGCTGGTGAGAGCCAAGCTCATCTCTGATACAGGACCCTTGGGCCCCTATCTACACCATTTCCAGAAGTAAAGATTTCAAGATTAATCTGATGCTTAGAAAATCTAAGACACAACCAAAATTAGCATTAAGTGGGAGGGTGGTTTGGAGGAGAAGACCCCAGAAAAAATATTCAGGAATAAAACCCTAACTCACTGAGGAAAGAAACAAGTTATTCTATGAAATAACATGGAAAAGACTCAGGAGTTAAAAAAAAAAATTAGATCCTTGGAGACCACTGTTAAATAGGTTATAAAATGATACAAAAAACCTTCTTTGAAAATGTAAATCTACCATAAATGATCATTTGTGGCCACACTTTACTTTGACTAAATATCATCATTGTTCTAAAAGATTTTTTGGTGTATATTTTGTGTCTGAGGTAAGTTTTGTCTGTTTAATGTATTTTCTGTAAGGATAGCTAACATTTCGCTGTCTTTCTTTCCTGACAGGCTGTGGCTTGTATATCTTGATTAATCTTTTTTCCTTTTAATAGCAAAAATTTTCCCTCAAAGAGAATTCAGCTTGTGTTGCATATTAGTACTGGGTAAATTCTGCCCCATTGACACCGGCAGAAGCATGGCACTGCAACTCGATTAGGTTCAGGTTACACGTATCCGAAACCATTCAGCTGACGTCTCTCAGTAGCTCTGTCTTCACCTCCTTTCTCCCCCACGAATTATCTCACATGAATTCTGCACTCACACATCTTTATGTTTCAGGGGATCCTCAGAGAAGGAAACAATCCCTTTCCGACCAGGACCTACCACTTTGCCAGGGAAGCTATCAGCTCATACAGTCCTTCTGTGTGGAAGGGGCTATCAGAGTGGAGTTTATTTTTTCATAATATAAGGTCTTGTTTCCACTTTTTAAAATAGAAACCATACTGCATTTTCTTGCTTTTCAGTTTTAGCTCTTCTGCCTCCTAGCAGTGTGAAGAGCTGGTAGCTTCTGAGTCCTAATTTCCTCATCTTTTAAATGAGGACGTTACCCAGGTTTGCTATGAAAGGAGGAGCTGGTGAACCCAATACATCCAGCACAGTGCCAGGCACATGGTTGGTGTCTGATAAGTGGGAACTACTATCATTATGACAGAAATATTCCATTCTTATTAATTAAATATTTAGCTTTTCTTTCCCCCATGGTCATAGGTTTTATTCTATGTTCCTCTCAAGTTCTAAAAAAGTTTTGATTTTTTAATATTGGTGATTCACAACCACATTTAAGCTCTTTTTGTGTTTAAGTTCTTATGGTTATTTAATTAGGTTATAAAATATTTTATTAATTTCCTTTAAAATCACATTTTCCATTTATTATTCTACGTTTCATTTCCCTTCATTTACTCTTCTGTTAATGTATATATGAATGTGTGTGTGAATTTACTTATTTATTTCATGGTTTTTATAATCAAGGCTCATATGAAAGCAAGGCAACAGAAGTGGAAACAGCTTTATCTTATCATGAAGGGTTGGTGGGAGCCTTTCCTCCAGCCATGCCTCAACCATGTTTAACAGAGCTCCTAGCATGTGTAAGGAAAGAAGCAAAATCTTGAGAGGCTTAGGACAGCTCTGACTTAACTCTCCCCATGTTAAAATTTACTAATAC